CCAGGGGCCCCAGGCCCGTCGCACTAACCAATGTTTTCTTTTCCAGTGAGGGAGGAGATGATTGTTCTGGGGACCCAACTAATCTCATTCTCAATAATTCTAGTTCTGTGAATGCTGTGGAGGAGGGACTGTCCCATTTGCAGATGGCCCAACGTGAAGAGGTGCAGTCGTTGCTTGACGAATTCTCCAGTCTGTTCGGGGAGGTCCCGACCCAGACTGATGCCATCTACCATGATGTCAAGTTGACGGACTACACCCCCCATTCGCCTCCAATCCTATCGAATGAGTCGGGAAAAGAAGGCCATCGTACGAATAGAGGTCGACTTTCTGCTCCAGCACGGCCTCATCCGGCAGAGCCAGGGCTCTTGGTGCTCGCCCTGCCTTTTGGTCCCCAAACCAGACGGCTCCTGGCGATTATGCAGCGACTATCGGCAGCTCAACAAGGTGACCATCGTGGATGCCTATCCGCTGCCCCTCCTCGAAGACTGCATCGACGAGATCGGAAACGCCACGTACGTCTCGAAATTCGACCTCTCAAGGGGTTATTATCAGATCCCGCTCACTGAATGTGCCAAGCAACTAACTACTTTCATAACACCCGATGGTGTCTTCGAGTATCAAGTGTTACCGTTCGGCTTGCATAATGCCCCTGCCACTTTCCAGAAGCTAATGAACTCTCTGCTCGGTAATGTGCCAAATTGTCGGGCGTATTTAGATGACATTGTGCTCTTTGATAGTAATTGGGCTGACCACATAGCTAGGTTACGCCAGTTGTTCACAGTTCTGAAAAGTGCAAATTTAACTCTAAATGCAAAAAAAAGTGTCATTTTGGCCAAGACACAATGACGTACCTTGGTTATGAAGTGGGCCAAGGAAAAGTGTTACCTCGGCAAGATAAAATCAGTGCCATTCTGGAGTATCCAGTGCTCCGATCTAAAAAGGACGTTCAAAGGTTTATCGGTATGTGTGCGTACTACTGACGCTTTTGTCAGAACTTTTCCAGTGTCGCCATGCCTCTCACAGACTTGTTGCAGAAGGCCGTTGAATTTAAGTGGTCAACAGACTGTGCCGAGGCGTTTAAAAATTTGAAATTGATCTTAGCTTCCGCCTCAGTGCACGCTAGTCCAAGGTTCGATCGACCACTTAAAATTCATGTTGACGCGTCTGACTCGGGTGCTGGTGCAGTGTTGTTGCAAACTGGGGATGATCAAGTGGACCACCCAGTATACTATTACTCTGTGAAATTTGACAAGGCGCAACGCAATTATTCAGTGGTAGAAAAAGAAGCGTTGGCGCTAGTGTTAGCATGTAAAAAGTTTGAAGTATATCTAACAACTAATATAGTGGAAGTGTACATGGACCATTTTGTATGTGCTTTTTCTTTCAGAGAATTCCTTTTTGTGTGTGCTTTTTCTTTCAGAACATTTATTTTCGTGTGCTTTTCTTTCAGAGAATTCCTTTGTGCTTTTTCTCGCAGATAAATTTTTGTTTTTGTTTGATTTTTTTATTGCATAGATTTTCCTTTTTATTCTCTGTATACTCTTACAAAAATATGACTACTATTCTAGTAGCCACATTTTTTTTCTCTGAAGGGGGGAGGAGTGTTACGACCCTGGGTTCCATAGTTGGAAACCAGAGATCAAACTGAGCTCTAAATAATTACTTTACATTAATTGATAGGAATGCTGATGCACTTTTGTTCCTATCTTCCTTGCCAGATGAAAGACGAATCTTGTTTCTCACAGAGCATTCAGACTCTGAGCTTGTTGTTGATTAATTATAACATTGAACTAATTATCAGCTATTCTTAGAATGTTTAGGGGAATTAGTAAAGTATGTCTGGGTAAACTTGGATTGATGGCTGCTGTACGATTAGCTGAGTATTCGGCCAGCAGCGATTCAGAGTAAGGAAGCGCGGAAGCTGGTGCCTTCTTCTCTGGTCGGGCTTTGTTTGTGTTGGGACTAGGGTACCTCGTGGGGCTTGCTTACCCCAGGCTGCTCCAAGCCTTCAAGCTCTTTTCAAGTAGACTTTACCCTAGCTTGTCCCAAGCGTAAGCCTTGTATCCTGTCTATGTGGACCAAGGTAGTTAAAGTAAGATAGTGTGGTAAAGTAGTTATTGTTATGATAGTAATGTATATGGGGGTAGTTAGAGGGGTTAATAAATAAGTAATATTAAAGGAGTATCCATTCTTCCTGTGTAGGGGATCAGTGATCAACTTCTAGACTGACATATTTACTTTAAGCTACTAATTTAATATTGTTTTATGTTCTTATTGGGGGCCGGGCCTATCTGATCTCCACTAATTTTGATACATCCTGATTCTAGCTGTTGGCCCTTCTCCTTAATACTCTATACCCCCAATAACAGTAAGCATAATTTATAACAATCACTAAGGATGCCAATATGAGAATAAAAACGAACAAGGCGAAAGATATCAAAGGTAACTGATTTACCAAGAATTCTATCAAGGGACAAGTGACCGCGAGGGATGTTCGGGAAGCAAGATACATGTGCGTCCTGGAAGTCAGAATATTTAACAAGAATATGCACGACCGTAAGAGGGACAATGCAGTTTGGACAATAAGGAGCAGGGCCGACACTGATGTAAAGTATTCATTGAGTGTTTGCTGCCCTTCTATCATCCAACATAAGTTGGTTAGTCTCATCTTTTAGGGGTCCTACAGTGTTTTGTTTTACTATGTGTACATGCATAGAATGATTTTGGATCTTCCTTTTGTTTTAGGCAAGTTTACTTTAACAATTTCCTTTGGCTAATCTTTTTTCTTGGGTGGCTGAATTTAATGCCCTTTTATATATCTCATAATCCAAGATGTTCATCGATGATTTATATTCTCCAGAGGTTCCGTTTAGTTATTATGCGCTCTTTTTACTACTTGTGTCACCCATCTTGTTCCCTTTCTTTTCTTTCTCCTTATTTGGCAATATCTTTGTAAGAGTTTTTTAAATTTGTCCATGATGTTTCCATGCCATGATCACATATCAGCTCTCATGAGGTTGTTTGAAATTCCTCTCTCATTCCTTGATAGTTTCCTCGATGGTAATCTAGGTCATCATCCTGGACCTTTACGAGTTTCTGTAATTGTATTCCATCTTAGAATATTGTGATCACACGATGGAGTGAGCTTTTCTCCTTACTTGACTTAGATCGATCATGCCCTCTTCTGATGTTAGCACTAGGTCCAGAATGCTGTCAGGTAAATTCAGGTACACACACACACATGCTCTATAAACCCACACTTGCTCTGCTTCCTGCCCCATACCCCCAATGATACAATATCTGGACCTAGAAACGGCTTTTTGACAGAGTTCCAAACAAGCGGTTGCTTTGGAAACGAACGTGCTGGAGGGGTGACAGGGAGACTGCTGATATGGATGAACAATTTTCTGGCAAAGATGAGGGTAGTACTTAGAGGTAATTACAGACTAGAGGAGTGTTATTGCAGAGTACCATAGGGTTCAGTTCTTGTGCCAATAATGTTTATCGTTTACATAAATTATTTACCAGAAGGAATACGGAATTATATGAACATGTATGCTGATGATGCCAAGCTATAGGGAAGATAGGAAACCTAGACGACTGCCATGCCCTACAAATGGACCTAGATAAAATAAGTGCTTGGAGCACCATGTAGCAAATGGCATTTAATGTGAATAAATGCCATGTTATAGAATGTGGAATAGGAGAAAATAGACAACACAACCTACAAATTAAGTGAAAAAGTTTTAAAGTATTCTGATCGATAGATAGCTTTTTGGGTTGTTCTGAATAAAAAAACTGTCACCTGAGGATCATATAAGGAACATTGTACGAGGAGCGCATGCTACGCTTTTCAACTGTAGAATTGCTATTAAATATTTACTGTATATGGCAAAATATTAAAGAAATTATTCACGACCTTGTGAGATCAAAGTTGAAATATGCAGCAGTTGTATGGTGCCCATATCTTAAGAAGCATATCACTAAACTAGAAAGGTCAAAAGAAATGCAACTAAATGGCTTCCAGAACTGAAAAATATGAGCTATGAAGAGAGTTTAGTCATTAAATAGACTAAAAGCTAGAAGATAGAAGAAAAAAAGAGGCAATATGATCACTACTTATAAGTACTGTACAGTAGAAATAATTATCAAAAGATGGCACCAAGCCAGGGAGACTATGTAGCACCATCAAAGGTGCAGGATATTCAAAAGGCATTAAATATCACTAAAGATGCCAATACTAGAACAAAAGCACATAAGGCAAACTATGTAAAAGGTATCCGATTCACCAAGGATTCTATCGAGAGGTAAGTGACAGCAAGTCACTACTTACACAATGCAGTAGTACCAGAAATCGTAGAAATTGACAAGGAAGAATTTTTGAAAACGGCAGCTTTAAAAACATGAGAACAGGTTCAAATTAAGAAAACAAAGCTACCGAAAAAACATCAGAAAGTACCATCAGAGTAGAAGACAATTGGAATAAGTGAAGTGAAGTGGTGGTGGAACCCAAAACCATCAAATTTCAAAGCGTTACATGACAGTACTGGGAAGACAGGACACCATAAGCATAGCTTTCATTCTGTAACTACACTTAGGTAATTAAACACACACACGCCCTGCCTCCCACAATAATATCGGAAAAAATGCTGATACCATCCCACATCCACGTGGAAAACACTGGGCTAGTGAGGGCAAAGTTGTGCCACAACAAACCCAATAATGGACTCGTATTTAATTAATGAGCGACAAACTCTGAATTCAACTGTAAACCAGAGGCCCTTAAATATAGTAGATTGAAACAAAAACTGACTTGGAAGGCTGTTCAGATGGACGAGTGTATGTTTAACAGCATTCATATAATGGGGACTACCTGTACTGAATTCCCATTTATGCCTTCTTGTTTCCCCACCAACATTCCAAATATTGTCCTTGCCTAGTAGTGCCTGTTTATTAATGGCATTATGATGATGTACAGTATTCTGAATGATATAAATGGATGAGTTTTTAATATTTTATTATTTAATAACTACAATCTCTTATATTACTAATTTATCTTTAAGCTGATGCCCCTCTACCCCATGAAAGTGAGAAATGGGGTAATTATAATGAGTATCAAATTTTAATTTGATACAAATATTTTGGGAGTTTGAGAGTGCAGTTGGTGGAACTGCATTTATCCTTGTTTATTTTCTGGACAAACAGTATTTTTTAAAACATTCGTTAAAATTTTTCTTGAGGATAAAGCATCCTATGAACCAGCAATTTAGTAATCCTATTTAAACTTAAAAATACTAAAAATGATAGCTCAAGAAAATTTTTCATACTTTTATTTCATATACGGCACTGTACTCTTTTATATTTTAACTCGCTTGTGAGTGCAAGTGCACTCAAGATTTCTTTCAGTGGAAACATTAATAAAAGCACATTGTCCAATCACAGTATTACTAATTTCAAATGTCACAAGGCATCTCTGGCAGACAAATGCTGGTCACTTTTTTAAATATTGTTTAAAGATTATAACAATTACAATAAACTTAAAAAGAAATGATTAAATATGCTTTTAGACTATATTTTCATGTAATTTTACAATACTGTATATGTCTTGTTATATAAAAAAATCCAAATGATTCATGCAATAGTTTATTTTCTTGTATGAAATATTCTTTACTATAGAGTACTGGTACATAAACACAAACCCAAGTGTTTAACACTCGCTAGAATTCATTAGAAGGGTGTGGGGAAGCAAAAGGCAGGCTCTACTGGTAATTGTCCATCATGATGGATGAAAGGAATTTTTGCTTTTTAAATTCACCCATAGAGCATGGGAAATATTAGGGTTTGAATGGTAAGTCCTTTGATATGGCTCGTCATGCTTTTACAAAATTCTGAATGCTGTATAGACAATACTGAAAAACCGTTGGAATTTTGGGAAAGCTATTTAAAACACAATTCTATGGTTCATATTCATTTTGAGTGTTACATGAAAAATAGAAACACTGATGATGACCAAAGAAAAAAATTTATGGAAAACTCCGGATTTCATGCAAATCTAGATCATGTCAAACTAAATAATACGGGTTTTGGAGGTGTGTTTATATATTCTCACAGATTTCACACACTAGTGGTTTAAGTGTTCACATCACCTGCACATTCACATAGTCAATAGACTCTAGCAGCACGATTGGCAGACATTATTATGGATAACTGACAAGTACTGGCAATTAGATTAGGAACAGTAATACCAAAACATTCTAATAGATAAAACTGCCTCCTCATCTCCATTTTAACTACAATAAATAAGAGACAGTAAATGCTAAATTTATATAGTTATCACATACAAGATAGCACAGGTAAGAGAATTAGTCCCAAAATTTACTAGTCACTTAAAAAATAGTTCAACAATAACATCAATCAATCTGAAACAGCACTTCAAACAACACATTTACAAATGCCACACAATTTTTCTACCAATACTAAATATTTGGATATACGTAGCGGTAACAAAATTGAAGGTAACATTCCCTAGAACGTATTTTATACAGCTTTCTGATTATCATTGTTAATAATGAAAAGGAATGTATTAAGGTTCAGATTATACTACATTGAGGAAGCTTGCCACAATGCACAATTATAAATTATTTTAAAGTATATTTAATATGATCACATTAATGTTCAGTGTTCATTGCATTGTATTTTTTATATAATATTCTTTATTAAAATTATTTAGAGAGCTTATAATAAATTCTCCAAGGGGTAATCATTTTTATTGTAATAAAAATGATTTATAAAATATATTATTTATTAAATAATACAAAGTATATATTATATATTTTGTCCCGATAATTTTTAATTAGCATTATTGATTTATAACAAATTTTAATGACCTCAGATCAAAACTATCAAGAACACACTTTATAAGGATCAATTGTCATACAAAATCATTCTTTACACTGGTTTTGTTAAATTGGAAGCTTTATTCCACATTTACTCAACACTTTTCCACTGTGAATACACACAAAATCATGTATGTTATGCACCTCCATGCAAAGAAATGAATTTGTTCACATTTTAGTGCGAACACATTCATAAAGATGTGATCTGACCAAAACTAAATGTTTATATATAAAAGCTAAATCAACGTTTTCCACTCTACTTATCAAAAAATAATCAATTCGTACATGACAACCTCTGGGCAATAAGATGTGATTGGAGTAGAGTAAGTTTTTTCTCATGGGATGAAAGTGGAAGTACAGAAGCAATAAACAATGGAATGCAATAAATTAATCTTTAACTTTCATAGTTCCAGGACTAGCTGCTGCCCTCACCTAACATTTCTTCTTAATTAATATTCACAATTAGAAATGCTTTTCAATTGATTACAATACTTTCCAAAAATGATCAGGTTGAGTATGAAATGTGATCACCAATGTTGATTGCTAAGAGCTCATAAAAGTCCTCCAAACATCTTCAAACACTTATTAAATTATAATCACTTTAGTGTTGCTTCATATTGTTGAATGACCACTTTAATATATTCTTAAATATAATTGGCTCTATCATATACGTGTAATGTATTAACAGTTATTTGCATAATATACGGCTCACATTTTTAATAATCTTATGGCAAGAATCAACCTAAATATACTTGTCTGTGCTACACATCTCCTCAGTCACCTGACACAGATGACAATCACAGGACACACACACCTGGTATATATTTCTAAGATAAATAAGGTTATCCAAACCCTACTCATCCATTGTGCCTCGAACTTCTCCTATCTGTCTTTGCTGCAGATTGAGAGAGAGCAAGAATTAATATATATAGCAATACAATACTAATTCAAAAATATATGTTATAGACTATAGCTTATCAATATAGAAAGTATTAAAATACTTCTTAAATATAATAATTTCCTGGCAGAACAAACTTTTTATAAATACAGTATGCACCTTTATTGATAAATACAACTTTATGGCTGTTTTATGCTAACCAAGACTGGGATAGTAATTTGACAAAATATGCCTTCACAGCATGGTAATCTAGTTTTCTTTCAATTCAAATTAAAAAAAAAAAAAAAGTGTTGAATGTATTGAAACGCCATTTTCTGGGTAAGCCTCGGAGGCTCCCTGGAGCTATCTGACTGATATGCAATACTTTAGTCTGGAGCATCAGTCAATTGGAGTTCAGCCTACCGGGGACCACGGGTCAGAACATGACCCCCTCAGAGGCAAAAGTAGCAATGGCCTATGGAAACCTCGTACCTGGGGGGAGGGGGGGGGGCCATTCCATGTCTGCCATCGACTGGGGGTTAGCACCCAGAAAGGTAGGTATAACAAGACAGATCCCACATGGTAAGAAAATTGCAACCGAGGACCGAACAGAGAGGCAGAACTCCCCCAACCTAAAGAACAAGGAAACTAGCAAACGTCACACACCGCCGCCACGCTGCTTGTCCATAGAGCTCTCCCCTCCCCGGACCCTCTGTGCCGGCTACTCAACACCTCCAGTTCAGAGGCCTAGCATCACAAAATAACGGGAAAACCGCCGACCGGAGGGAGGGTGCCCGGGAGCCTCCGGGGCTCATGCAGAAAATGGAGTTTCATTACATTCAACGCTGGTTTTCTGTGGGAAGCCCCTCCGGCTCCCTGCAGCTGCCTAACCAAAGACAAGTAAAAGAGGGACTTACCTGGGAGGCAGCTGCCACTCGCTGCTCAACTGTAAATCAAGACAACTGGCTGCAACCTGCGACCCAAAGCGACACACGAAACATCTTGACCAGAAACATTTACCAAATAACAGGCAGCCAGGACCCTGTTTGACCTCCAAAACCCCCACTCGCAAAAGTCAGCTCAAGACATGATGCCGAACGCAACAGCCAAAACAGCAAACTTTGGAACGTCATGGGCACGAGGGTAGACCGCAGGCTGGCTAGACTTAACACTGCAAACGACCTGGCATATTCAAGCCCTGGAACAGGGAACGAGGGACACCAGATCAACCCAAAGCACATACCCGGCCACAGAAGCCGAGGTGAGCAGATAACGGCGAAGAGCCACAACCTGACAACACATGATGCACCCGGCCTGACCAACCAAACATCAACGACCCAAGGGCCTCTCCGGAAAGCCGCCATCTCGTTCTTCGCCAGAAAAGAAGATGGCTACAACCGAATAAACCGACCACCAGGACCAAAAGAGCAGAAACTCTTGTACTGAAGACCGTGAAGCTCACCCACCTGACCCCCAGAGGCCAGTGCCAACAGAAACAGTGCTTTAGAAAAACAATCTTTAACTGAAGGGGCCACCACAAACCGAGGAGAGAGAAAAAAAAAGAGAGCACCCAGTCCAAAGACCAGGATGGCTCAGGCGGCGCATGAGGAGGTCGGTGGTGAAACAAAGCACGAGAAAACATACAGAACGGGGTGGTAGTGACATCCATCCCGAATGCTCAAAGCGGCTCCACCAGCTCCGCACGATAAGAGGCGACAGAATTCGGCATCAAATGACGGTCCTGAAAAAGCCACGAAAAAAAGGACAAGACAACCCAATCAGAAATAGAAGATAATGTATGGAGAGGAAGAAAATGGCAAAAAGATCACCAGGACACTTCATACTGTCGCCGAGACGAGGCTCCATCAACAAAGCCACCTCATCACTATACAAGTGGTGATAAATCCGCATCAAAAAGACCAGACACAAAAAGTGGAGTAGTAGACCGAATCAGCCACGTAACAGACCGGGCCGATCTGCTGAAAGACAGAGTCGCGGAAAACATCTCTGGTTCGAACACCGAGCAAGCAGCGCCTGAAACCAAGGCTGGGCCGGTCACCAGGAAGCCAGAAGGACTACTCTCCCATGGTAAGCCTTCTTGAGGTTATCTTGAGATGATTTCGAGGCTTTAGTGTCCCTGCAGCCCGGTCCTCGACCAGGCCTTTACCCCCAGGAAGCAGCCCGTGACAACTGACTAACACCCAGGTACCTATTTTACTGCTAGGTAACAGGGGCATAGGGTGAAAGAAACTCTGCCCATTGTTTCTCGCCGGCACCTGGGATCGAACCCAGGACCACAAGTCCAGTGTGCTGTCTGCTCGGCCGACCGCCTTCAAACGAGCCAGAACCTGAAACAACAGCTGAACCAGGAAAAAGAGGTACAGGTAACCCCACCTCGACTGGGTTCGGCAAAGGTGTCGACTGAAAGGGATCTCTGCAGTCGGGGAAGGGCACCGCACATCGGGAGATGCCGAGACCACGCCTAACGCAAAGAGGTCCAAATCTGGGAGTCTGTATGTCCGGCAGAGCCAACAGAAGGAGTCTGTGTCAACCGTCCATTCCGTGGGCAGGGGAATGAACCGAAACAGGCCTTCTGCCAGGACGTTTCCTGGATGTGAACCACACTGAGAATCCAGGAAACGAGTCACTTGACGCGACCAGCCCCAAAGAGCCATGGACCGAAGAGAACCGCCATGGTTCAGACAATGAACCACTGGAGAGCAGTCCGAATGAAGCCAGATCGTGGATCCTTGAGCAACCCGAACCCTCCGAAGAGACAACCAAACTGCCGAGAACTCCCGGAACGTGCTACGAGTCCGATGAAAGGACGGAGCCCATGGCACCTGGCCAGCATGGTGAGCATTGGTCACAAAACCCCAGCCGAGTGATGAGGCATCCGAAGGCACTGAACTCCGAAAAATCCGAAAAGGAAGCCAGCGACGCAAGGCCCCTGGAGGCCGAACCTAGCGATCGTGAGAGGTGGAAGGGATGTCTCCGAAGGAACCAGAACAGATGTCGAAGCCAGACCCAACCCGGTGGGTAAACTAGCACGGCGAAGTTCAGACAACTGCTCGAACAACTACCAAGTGACCCGGGAATCACCCCCCCCCCCCAAGAAACAGCCAAGGCTGGACTGCAGCCGCAGCAACGACTCAGGAGGGAGAGACAAGGAAGTGCTCTGAGAGTCCCACAGGAGACCCAGCCAGGTTCAAACCTGGGATGGAACCAGATGGGATTTCCTCTAGTTCACCAGGAACCCGAACCTGGCGAGTTTGGAAAGAACCACATCCCTGGTGAGCAGACATGCAGACTGGCTGGGAGCCCACACCAACCAGTCATCGAGGTAGGACAAAACCCGAACCTTTAGCAGACGCAGGCAGGTCACCATCTAAGACGCATGAATATGTGAGGTGCCAGATTCAAGCCAAAAGGAAGGTAACGAAAGCAGTTAGCTTGCTACCCCACAACAAAACCTAACCAGTCCCTGAGCCCCGAGTGAATCGGGATGTGCCAATATGTCTCCCAGAGGTCCAGACACCATCCAAGCACCCAGCTCCAAAAGAAGCTTGACCTAGGACAAAGTGGTCATCCGAATTAGGGGCAAGGAATCCAGGGGTTCTAAAGGACGAGTCCAGAATAAACCACAGATCCACACAGTCCCGTTTTGGCACTGGAAACAGGCGGGAAACCCACCTGAGGGACGGGGATGTTTCGACCACACCCAAGCGCACCCATTCCAAGATGACCCAGCTGAGCGCAGGGGAAGCAGCCTGCCCCACCAGCCCCAAACCCCTTGAAGGAGAAGTCTCCCAACGCCCCCACAGGCCGGAGGATACGACCCGAAATGCCCACGAATCGTGGAACCAGGCATGAGCAAACAGCACGAGCCTCCCCCCCCCTCATCAATGGGGCAACCCGCGACAGGGCCAACATCCCTTACGAGAAGCCGGCTGACAAGCAGAGCAAGCATCGTGCCGACCAGATGACGCCGGCTCCAAAAAGAGGTGCTGGCTCAGAAACTGGTTCCAATGGCCAACCCCGACTGAAAGAACCCCAAGCCCTGGCATGACCCTTTCGACAATTAGATGAGGCCGCCTGCAGAAACTGGGCGACAGCAGTTTCTGCAAACAGCAACGGACAAAAAGGTGAAGAAAACCAAAGAGCCAGGGGCCAAGCGGATTCCAAAGAGCAAGCATGGTTTGACAGCACACGAGGCGAAAGGCAAGGAACAGAGACACTGCTTCCCGAAGAATCGGCGCAAACAGCTTTAACAGCGCGGCCGAGGCAAGAACACCAGACGAAGGCCCGGTACACTGCCTCCACATCCTCCTCAAGCCAGTCCAAGTACAACTCGAGAAAGGAAAAAGAAGTGCAATACCGAAGCCAAATGCCCGCTAGTGCTCAAGTCCTCAGTGACTTAAAGACGCCGAAAGGACAGGAACCTGCACATGCAGCTGAAGAAGGCCAACATCCTGGGAAAGCACAGGGGGCAAACAAGCACGCATTAAGGTGCTCAAACACGCCCACTAGGTAAACCTACAGAACAGTAATCGCCTTCCATCACTTAAGCGTGCAGGTCTGACAAACCCATGTCACATCCCCAGCAAAAAGAAAGGGTAGTCTGTCAGCAAGGAAGACCCCAGAACCTCCAAACGCACCCAATACAGGTAAGAAGAACCAAACTCAAACGAGGACAGACCCATCACGGAGCCAGGAGCTGGGGAAGAGAGGAGAGCAGAGCGAACACCACCAACCTGGGAAGGACTAAGAAGTGTGGACGGATCCAAAGTCGAAGGAACTAATGCCCCCAAGTCCGGGTCCCTATAACCAAAACGGGGCAGTCTTGGGGCATCCAGGAAGGCAACCAACCTAGTGCATTGCAGCAGCTTAAACCTAACATGCAATGCCGGTGCCGCCTGTACCCGAACCTTAGTGTCAAGAGAAGGGTTAAGTTGGAGTACGAACAGAGAACAACTCGCAAGACTCCAGGTCAATGGTGTCATTGACCCAGCAGGCAG